GGGAGGGGGGGGTGGAAGGGTGGGAAGGGGAAGGGGGGGATTTATATTGTAAAATTTTATAAAATTTTCAATTAAAAAAAAGAAAAAAAAAGAAGAAGGAACGTTGCTAGAGGTGGGGGGGAAAAAAGAACACGGGATTTTAGAGTCCCACCTTGTAATATGACAGAAATCCACGGCGATCCGTTCTGTCATGCACCATTCCGCTGGGAACATCCGGACGTATTTTTCCTCGTAGTCTACCAACTGGCGCTTGATCCAGGCGTAACGCCGGTCGATCTTGTCCAGCCAAGCAACCTGGGAGAGAACAGCAGGAGATTTCAACCATCTTTCTCCTCCATGTTGATATCAAGATGTACAATGCACATCATGAACCCTCAGCCATCCGGGTCATAGTTTATCCCAAAGGTGTTTTTTTAAGAGGCAACTGAACTTTCTTTTTAATCTTTGAAGAAATTTTGCTTCTCCTCCAAGAAGCTTCTTCAGCTCTGACTGGATAGTGGGAAATGGAAGGATTTATACTCCTTGCAGACAGCTGGTCATTTGCATTCTTTTAGAGCAGACATGTCAAACTCGCGACGTCACATGACGTCGCGCGACATATCGGGACTGTTTTGCCATTGCCGGCAATGGGGTGGGTGTGGCTTCCACATGACGCATCCGGCCCGTGGGCCGGCAATTTGACACCCCTGTTTTAGAGAGTCATTCAGGCCACTTGGAGGTTTGTCTGTGTCCTCAAGGTCAGGGCTTTTCAACCTTTTCACCCATTGTACCACTTTTAGGATATGGCAATATCCGAGTACCACCAGTCGCCTAGCAAGGTGTCAAAAACGTGATGATCCCCCCAAAAAAAGAAAAAGGAAAAAAGTGATAAAGTACAGGTAGTCCTCGCCTTACAACAGTTCACTTAGTGACTGTTCGAAGTTACAATGGCACTGAAAAAAGTGTCCCCCAAGCCACAGCCGAGCAAGACACCTGCCTGCCCGCCCGCCCGCGCTCTTCCTCCTGTCCGAGGTTTTCATTGTTGTGAGCGTTTCTGTTGAGGATTGGCAGCGGGGGTGGGGTGGGGTGGTGTTTGGTTTTTATTCCCCCCGTCTGCTGGGTGGTTGCAGCAGGTTTTGGTCACTTCATATGACCCTGGGACACTGTGACCGTCATAAATATGAATCAGTTGCCAAGCATCTGAATGTAAAGCACAAGATCCTGGAGATGCTGCAACATTCCAGCTGATCGGCGCTTCTTCTGGGCTCAGCAGAAGCATCAGGATCAGCGCCGAGTTCCAGCCGGAGACTGGTACTGATCCTGGGGCTTCTGCTGAGCCCTGACAGCCCTGCAGCTCCAGCCGTCTCTCGCTCAGGCTTGTGCGGTGCTGCCACCTGTTCAGCTCATTCCCCTCCCCCGCTACCACTTTTCTAGGATGGTCGCGTACCACCTGCCAGGTGCCAATGGACCACAGGTGGTACCCGTACCACTGGTTAAAAAGCCCTGCTCAAGGTCACCCGAGTGGTGCAGATAAACCTCCAAGCAGCCTTCCTGACTCTCTAAAAGAATGCAAATGACCAGCTTTCTGCAAGGAGTATAAATCCTTCCTTTCCCCACCATCCAGTCAGAGCTGAAGAAGCTTCTGGAATGAGAAGCGAAACGTCTTCAAGGGAAAGACCCAGAAAGTCCAGCTGCTTTTTGAAAAAGCACCTTTGGCACAACCATGACCTGGTGACTCAGAATCTCCATAACTGAACCAACATCCTTTCCATACGTATAAAAATCCCAGTCCATCTTCCGATGAGCAAAGTCAGAGGGGGAAGCCAAACTCACTTAACAACTGAGTGATTCACTTAAAAACCATGACAAAAAAAGGATATACAATTGGCTGTGACTCACTTAACAACTGTCTTGCTTAGCAACAGCAATTCTACTCCCAACTGTGGTTGTAAGTTGAGGACTACCTGCAGAAGATCTACTGCAGGGGTCTCCAAACGTGGCAACTTTAAGATTTGTGGACTTCAACTCCCAGAATTTGTGGACTTCAACTCCCAGAATCCCCCAGCCAGTCATGCTGGCTGGGGAATTCTGGGAATTGAAGTCCACAAGTCTTAAAGTTGCCAAGTTTGGAGAACTCTGTGCTTCCCACCTCCCTTTGTATTCATGAGAACTAGGATTGTATTATGAGACGCCTACTAAGTTTACATTTCAGCCCAGGACTCAGATTTCTCTTCTTTGACCATTGTCTTACTGGCAATTTTTCCTCCTGTTCTCAAGGTTATTCTTTCTGCCATTACACTACAGGTAGTCCTCGATCTACGACCACAATTGAGCCCAAAATTTCTATTGCTCAACAAGACATTTGTTAAGCAGATTTTGCCCCATTTTACAACCTTTCTTTCATAGTTGTTCAGTGAACCAGACAAAATATTACTGAATAAGAAAATGTGACAATGAGGGTTCAGAGTTCCAGTTGTGAACAGGTAGTCCTCAACTTACGACCACAATTGAGCCCAAAGGTTTTGTTGCCAAGCGACACAGTTATGTGAATTTGGCCTCATTTTACGATCTTCCTTGCCACCGTTGTTAAGTGGATCACTGCAGTTAGTAAACTGGTTCTTAAGTGAATCTGGCTTCCTCATAGACTTTGCTTGTCAAACGGTCGCAAAAGGGGATCCCATGACCCCAGGACACTGCAACCGACGTAAGTACATGCCAGTTGCCAAGCATCTGAATTTTGATCATGTGACCATTGGGACTACTGCAACAGTTATGTGAAAAATGATTGTCACTTTTTTCAGTGCTGCTGTAACTTTGAACAGTCACTAAATGAATTGTAAGCCGGGGACTACCTGTAGCTGGAGCGAATGAACCAGAACACAAGGTTATAGCTGATTGGCTGAAGAGTGCTGGCTGCCATGCTGTGATTGGCTATTGTGGGTGTGGAGGGGGAGGTTCCCTTTTTTCCCGCCTTTTTCTTCTGGGCACCCTTTTGTGCTCTATGATTTACCTCATGATGTTCCTGCTGTGTTGATTTACCTCATGAGGTTCCTGCTGTGTTGAATTACGGTCACTAAATGAATTTATAGGTCTACCTATAATTCAGAAGGTGAGGGCTTTGCTCTCCATCTCATCTAACCTTTCTCTCTCACACATTAAAGCAGCCATCTCTTTTTTTTTCTTTCCACGCAAAGCAGGAAAAAAAAGGTTTTAGCCGCTTCAAAAGCTGCTGCCAGTTAAATACTTTCCATAAGGCAGAGGTACATTTTTTTCCAGCATCCACCCAAAAACTGAGAACGAAAAGCTTTTGTGACCAGCAGGAAGACGCAGAGCTTCTTGGGAGACCCAAAGCATTTCCGAATCTTTTTCAAAGTGTGTGTCTTTCCCCTGAGGGAATCGCGGGGAGTCCAACTCACGTCTTGGTTTTCCTGGAACAACACCAGATACTCCGAGAGGTGCTGCTTAATAAACTTCTTGATGATTTCTTGCTTGATCCGGGGATCTAAGACGTTGGCGACCAAGCAGGCGTCACGGAGAACGTTGCTGGGACCAGCGGATCTCTGCTGAGGACAAGCCCAGAGAATTAAGCTGGCGTTTTGCTGCCATCTTGAGTTCTAATTCTGTCCTTAGGCATGAAAGTCGTTGGGGTGATTTGGGGCCAATCACCAGGAGATTGGGAGTTCTAGTCCTGCCTTAGGCACAAAAGCCAGCTGGTAGATTTGGGGCCAATCACCAAGAGATAGTCAGTTCTATCCCGCCCGTAGGCAGGAAAACTGGCTGGGCTGACTTTGGGCCAATCACCAGGTGATGGTGAGTTCTAGTTCTGCCTGAGGCAAGAAAGCCATCTGGATCACTTTGGGTCAATCACCAGGAGGTGGTGAGTTCTAGTTCTGCCTTAGGCACAAAAGTTAGCTGGGAGACTGTCAGCCAATCACTAGGATAATGAGTTCTATCCCACCTTACGCAGGAAAGCTGGCTGGGTGACTGGGCCAATCACCAGATGGTGAGTTCTAATCCTGCCTTAGGCACAAAAGCTAGCTGGGTTGACTTTGGGCAAAACACCAGGAGATGGAGAGTTCTAGTTCCGCCTTAGGCGTGAAAGCCAGCTGGGTGACTTCGGGCCAATCACCAGGAGATGGTAAATTCTAGACTCGCCTTAGGCACAAAAGTCAGTTGGGAGACTTTGGGCCAATCACCAGGAGGCGGTGAGTTCTAGTTGCACCTTAAGGACAAAAGCCAGCTGGGCTGACTTTGGGCCTCCTCTCCCAGCCCAGCCCACCTCACAGGAAGGAGTATTACCTAGGTATGCCTTGAGTTACTTAGGAAAATAGGAAAGTGGGATAAAAACCTAATCAATAAAATCTGCTCTGCCTAGTGATGGTGGTGCTCAATAGGCGCCTGAAGGCAGGACAAGAAGCAACGGATGGGAACTAATCAAGGAGAGAAGCAACTTAGAACTAAGGAGAAACTTCCTGACAGTTAGAACAATTAACCAGTGGAACAATCTGCCTCCAGAAGCAGTGAATGCTCCAACACTGGAAGTTTTTAAGAAGAGACTGGACAGCCATTTGTCTGAAATGGTGTAGGGTTTCCTGCCTGAGCAGGGGGTTGGACTAGATGACCTCCAAGGTCCTTTCCAACTTTATTATTACTATTATTATTATTATTATTATTATTATTATTATTATTATTATTATTATTATTAGCTACAAGCCCCCAAGGGCCTTTTCCTTTTGAGACTCTACTGCGGGGTTTCTTAACCTTGGTAACTTTAAAATGGGTGGACTTCAACTCCCAGAATTCCCTAGGCAGCCATGCTGGCTACAGAATTCTGGGAGTTGAGTTGAAGTTTGCAAGTCTTAAAGTTAGTAAGTTTGGAGACTCCTGGTCTAGACCTTGGTCATTAAACCCTGCAGCCCCCTCAGATTTCCTTGCAAGCAGCTTATTGCAACGAGCGATAATTATGCAGACAGAAAAGATCAAGATACTTTAAAAAAAATAAATAAACACCTTTGTGCCTTGGGAAGGAAAGGCCTCTTCAAAATCAGCCAAGATCTGTTGTCCCAGCTCGTTCTGGGCTGCCTTCACCCTGTCAAAGAGAAAACATTCCTGTCATCCTTTGGCTGCAGAAGGAAACATGGGGCTGGCCCTCAGCCAAAAAGATGGTGCTTGACAAGCCAGGAATCAAGGCGTGGATCTGGTGTCCTTTCATCTAAACTAAAGCCATAATTGAAAGCGAAAAAGCCCTGCTTCCAAACATGGAATACAGACAGTCGTCGTCTTACAACCACAATGGAGCCCCTGCCAGAAGTAGGAGTCCTTATCCCATTGCACGTTGAGTTTAAATACTACAGGTAGTCCTCAGCTTACAACCCCAACTGGGGCCGGAACATTCATTAAGAGGTAATACAAAACTGCTCCCGATTGTGCAACCTTTTTTGTGTGGTCACTAAGTGAATCGCTGCAGTCATTAAGCAAGACATCATAGGATGGTGACTTATGACTTTCCCTCCGGCCTCCTCACTGATGTTGCTTGTTGGAAATTGGCTGGTAAAGGATTTAGCAACGGTCCTAAGGGTGAGAAAGATGATCAGGGGACTGGAGGCTAAAACATATAAGGAACGGTTGCTGGAATTGGGTTTGTCTAGTTTAACAAAGAGAAGGATGAGGGGGGACAGGATAGCAGTCTTCCAGTATCTCAGGGGCTGCCCCAAAGAAGAGGGAGTCAAGCTATTCTCCAAAGCATTTCCTGAAGGCTGGACAAGAAGCAACGGATGGAAACTAATCGAGGAGTGAAGCAACCTAGAACTAAGGAGAAATTTCCTGACAGTTAGAACAATTAACCAGTGGAACAACCTGCCTCCAGAAGCGGTGAATGCTCCAACACTGGAAGCTTTTAAGAAGAGACTGGACAGTCATTTGTCTGAAATGGTATAGGGTTTCCTGCCTGAGCACGGCGTTGGGCTAGATAACCTCCAAGGTCCCCTCCAACTTTACAGGACTTACCTGTACGGATAAAAGAAGCTAAATGATTTTTCTCCTGACTGTTAGACTAAGAGGGGCTGTTTTTATAGAGTTGCACTAAAAAAAAAAATTATTGGAGCTGGGACAAATGCTAAATTTAACTCCTCTGAAATTTAAGGTGGTTAATTAAGTACCCTGCCTTCTCCATGCATTTGATAATTGTCTTGATGAAAGCATGTCAGAACAGCCCTGCCGAGGTCTATCTTCACCTATCGCCTTGTTATCCCAAAGATGCTTCTTCACAAGGCAACTGGACTTCCTTGTTTTTCCTTGAAGATGTTTCGCTTCTCCTCCAAGATGCTTCTTCGGCTCTGACTGGATGGCGGGGAATGGGAGGATTTATACTCCTTGCAGACAGCCGGTCATTTGCCTTCTTTTAAAGAGTCATTGAGGCCACTTGGAGGTTTGTCTGTGTCCTCAGGGTCAGAATATAAATATAAATCCTTCCATTCCTCCACCATCCCAGTCAGAGCTGAAGAAGCTTCTTGGATGAGAAGCGAAACAACTTCAAAGAAAAACAAGAGAGTCCAGTTGCCTCCAGAAAAAGCATCTTTGGGACAACCTGGATGCCTGAGGAGAATCTCCATAGACATCTATTGTCTTGTGGTGCACCAGATGCTCTTGGAGGGTCCCATGCTCGAGATAAAAGACCTACTCTCCCCCCCCCCCATTGCTACCCTTTTCAACAGATGTTGCTCCTGATCCAGAGGCAAAAACCCCAAGCCTTCAAAGCCGCAGCCCTTAATAGATCTGTCCTCCATAACTTCATCCAATTCCCCTTCCCGCACCGTAACCATTAGTATACCCCACCATCTCCTATCACCCTTCTGTAGGTTATCAATGCTAAGTTTGGATGCAGCTCTGAAGGTAGCTCAAGCAGAGAACTTTTTGTTGCTGTTGTTAGTTGCGAAGTCGTGTCCGACCCATCGTGACCCCATGGACAACGTTCCTCCAGGCCTTCCTGTCCTCTACCATCTTCTGGAGTCCACTGAAGCTCACGCCTCCTGCTTCAGGGACTCCATCCAGCCACCTCCTTCTCCGTCGTCCCCTCCTTCTATTGCTATTGATCTAACTTTAGATCTAGCAAAAGAGAATTATGTGTAGCTCAGGGTTGAAAGAGGGGGTCCTTGGTGCTCTCTGAGGTTGGTGGTTTTGTTGCAAATGTTTCATGAACTAACTAGGTAACGTCATCAGTGCTAGAAGGGAGTGGGGATTGCTCTCTATTTACATACAAGCATACAGGAAAAGCCACTCCCAATAAAGGAGAATATTTGTAGCTGAGGGTTGAAAGAGGGGGTCCTTGGTGCTCTCTGAGGTTGGTGGTTTTGTTGCAGATGTTTTATGACCCAACTAGGTAACATCATCAGTGCTAGAAGGGAGTGGGGATTGCAGACAGGAGGAGGAGGATGGTGAGGGTGAGGGGGTGGAGGGGGAAGAGGAGGAGGAGGATGGAAAAGAGGGGAAAAGGAGGATTCCTTGGTGCTCTATAAGCTTGGTGGTTTTTCCTGCAGATGTTTCATGACCTGACTAGGTAACATCATCAGTGTTAGAAGGAGTGGAGTTTGCAGGGAGGAGGAGGAGGAGGACGACGACGACGACTGTGGTGTTCTCTGAGCCTGGTGGTTTTTTTTGCAGATATTTCATTACCCAACTAGGTAACATCATCAGTGTTAGAAGGGAGAGGGGTTTGCTCTCTTTTTATATACAAGTAGCTTGTCTCACCAGTGTTGGTGGGAATGTTCATGGTGGTTCCTGTTGTTTACTGTTTGATTGTTTGTCTGAGATAGTAGTTCCTTGACTGACAAGGCAAGCTATGATAAACTAAATAGACAGCCAACCCCACTCCCTTCTAGCACTGATAATGTTCCCTAGTTGGGTAATGAAGCGTCTGCAAGGAAACAACCCAGCTCAGAGAACCCTACAGTCCTCCTCCTCCTTTTCCTCTTCCTTCTCCTCCTCCTGCTCCTTCAGAAATCCCACTCTCTTCTAGCACTGATGATGTTCCCTAGTTGGGTCATGAAACATCAGCAAAAAAACCCCACCAAGCTCAGAGAGCGCCAAGGACCCCACAATCGTTGTCATAGTCATCCTCCTCCTCCCTCCCACCCCTTCTCCTCACCCCATAACACAGTGGTGGCGAACGTATGGCACAGGTGCCAGAGGTGGCACTCAGAGCCCTCTCTGTGGGCACATGTGCCATCACCCCAGTCCTAGGCCTTCAGCTGGGTTTTATAAAACCTTTTCGCTTTAGCTGCCATGTGCCCCAAAAAAAAGGTTCAATCAATCAGTCAATTTCAACTTCTCGCGGGAAAAAAAAGATCTTGCAAAGTTGGAGTTGATTGATTGAACTTTTTAGTCCCACCCAGTCTGCCGTTACCACCGCAGCCACGCCCACCCAATTGGCCACGCCCACCCAATTGGCCACACCCAGCCAATGGGCCACACCCACCCTGCACTCAACGATGCATAAGTGGGTTTTGGGTTGCAGTTTGGGCACTCAGTCTATAAAAGGTTCGCCATCACTGCCATAACATCTCCTTCCTTCCAGGAATGATAAGATGAAATGAGATGAGATGAGATGAGATAAGAAGATGATAAGAGAAGATGATAAGATGATAAGATGAGATAAGATGAGATAAGATGATGATAAGATGAGATAAGATAAGATGATAAGATAATGATAAGATGAGATGAGATAAGATGAGATAAGATGATGATAAGATGAGATAAGATAAGATGATAAGATTAAGATGAGATGAAATGAGATGAGATGATAAGATAAGATAAACTTTACTGTCATTTTTTTACTGGGCACAATGGCACACATCAAAAAAAGAAATTTAGTTGCCCGCTCTCAAAGTGAAACACATACATGACACACACCTAAAACATACTATACACAACATATGTATAGACCCACACCCCTACAAATACGTAACAAATAAATATTAAATACTGTCCATCTTGAAGGATAACATTACCTAGTGGGGCAACGCAACGTCTGCAAGAAAACCACCAAGCTCAGAGAGCACCAAGGACCCCAGAGTCCTCCCCCTCCCCCTCTTCCCCCTCTACCTCCTCCTCCCCACAAACCCCACTCCCTTCTAGCACTGATGATGTCACCTAGTTGGGTCATGAAACGTCTGCAAGAAAACCGCCAAGCTCAGAGAGCACCAAGGATCCCACCTTAAAATTCAGCTCATGCTTCACACCGAGAGTCCACCTTCCTCCCCTGGCTGTTACCTGGGAGACCGTACATACCTTTCGGAAAGCTGGCGGATCTGTGGGATCCCCATATATTTGTTGAAATGTTCCAGCACGTTCACAACCCCTTGTAATAGGTTGGCCAGCTCCCCGTACTGTCTCCTCCTGGTCATAGCCCTGGAATGGCAGAAAAGGAAGGAGAGAGACATGAGTGAGGCTGGTGCCGACGATTTCCCCAATCCAGCTGGCTTCGTTCTTTCACGCGTGGGGTCCCCACAAGAGACAAGATCACTAACAACCTAACCCCCTCCATGAGACTCCAGACTCCTGTGCCATCGGTATGTGACACCAAGAAATCTTTCAAAAGATCACATGAAGATCACGTGAAGGGTTAATACCACTTTACAATGCCTTAGTAAGGCCACACTTGGAATACGGCATCCAGTTTTGGTCACCACGATGTAAAAAGGATGTTGAGACTCTAGAAAGAGTGCAGAGAAGAGCAACAAAGATGATTAGGGGACTGGAGGCTAAAACATACAAGGAACGGTTGCTGGAATTGGGTATGTCTAGTTTAATGAAGAGAAGGACGAGGGGGGACATGATAGACTGCTATCAGTATCTCAGGGGCTGCCCCAAAGAAGAGGGAGTCAAGCTATTCTCCAAAGCCACTGAAGGCAGGAAAAGAAGCAACGGATGGAAACTAATCAAGGAGAGAAGCAACCTAGAACTAAGGAAAAACTTCCTGACAGTGAGGACAATTAACCAGTGGAACAACCTGCCTCCAGAAGCGGTGAATGCTCCAACACTAGAAGTTTTTAAGAAGAGACTGGACAGCCATTTGTCCGAAATGGTGTAGGGTTTCCTGCCTGAGCAGGGGGTTGGACTCAATGACCTCCAAGGTCCCTTCCAACTTTATTATTATTACTATTACTATTATTATTATTATTATTATTATTATTATTATTATTATTATTATTATTATTATTATTATTATTATTATTATTATTATTATTATTATTATTATTATGGATCATTGCACAGTCAGCCAGATGTTCAGACTGGATTTGGCATTTTGTCTACCTATCGAGTCCTTCCCAAGGACCTGGGATAGGCAGATGTGGATGTTTGATGGTATTACAGATCTCGTCGCAGGATGGAAGCAGTTCCTAGTAAGGCCGCCTTTTGCAATTGACTAATGGCGAATTTGTCAATGCCGATGGTGTTCAAGTAGTGTATTATTATTATTATTGTTGTTGTTGTTGTTGTTATTATTATTATTATTATTATTATTACAATTACTAACTTAAATATGATATAGCAAATGTTAAGGGAAACAAAGAAGAAATATATTATTATTACAATTACTAACTTAAATATGATATAGCAAATGTTAAGGGAAACAAAGAAGAAATATTTGATGATGTAACCTGAGATATGTACTAAAGATTTTGTTATTGAATTTTTGACTAACCCAATCACCACATATATATAAAAACTGGGACTTTCTTTGCTGGGACAAATGGACCATTGTTTTGCCTATGGCAAACAAAGCAAAGAGGTTCTGGGAAAAAAAAATACATACTTGGCTAGAAAAGATGCTGGGAAAACATGTAGATTTTAAACCTGAACTTTTTTTTATTAGGTATTATGCCAGAAAGGGTTGATAAACAAAGTATATATTTGATTTTACATGTGATAAGAGAGGCAAGAATCATATTTGCACACTAGCTGTACCAGGCCACGCGTTGCTATGGCTCAGTCTGGTTAAATGGAAAAGAAAGGAGAAAGCGCACGTTTGTAATATGTTTAATTTCACAATGCTAGTGTGTGTTGCTTTTACGTCCAACAGATAGCGCTGTTTTTTTAAAAAAGCATGTTTTTACCTGTCACAGGTGTGACATCTATAATATAATAGTAGGTATATAAAAACACACGCGTATTCGAATGCAACATTGTGTCAAAATTTCAAAGCAATCGGTGAAGAACTTTCGGAGATTTAAGATTTTGAACAAACGAACACTTACATTTTTTATTTATATAGATATCGGAAAAAGGAAGAAATACCGTCAGAGGAAGAAATAATTTAGAAAATATTAGACTGTGCGGAAATGGACAGACTTACTCTGAGGTTGAAAAAAAAAGAAGAAACAGAATACTATCAGACTTGGGAGCTTGTTTTATCAATGGTTGGAGAAACAATTGGTTAGAACAATTAACCAGTGGAACAACCTGCCTCCAGAAGCGGTGAATGCTCCAACACTGGAAGTTTTTAAGAAGAGACTGGACAGCCATTTGTCTGAAATGGTATAGGGTTTCCTGCCTGAGCAGGGGGTTGGACTAGATGACCTCCAAGGTCCCTTCCAACTTTATTATTATTATTATTACTATTATTATTATTATTATTATTATTATTATTATTATTATTATTATTATTATTATTATTATTATTATTATTATTATTATTATTATAATAAAGGATTAGGAATTACATTTGCGTTAGCGAATGATAAACTCAGACAACACGTTGTTGAATAAGTACTATTGAATTGTATGGAAAAAAATTAATAAAACGTTTACCCCAAAAAAAAAGAATTTTAAATTTTAAAACTGGGACTTCCTTTGCTTGGGACAATGGACAGACTATGAGAAAAGACTTAGGGACAATTGTTTTGCCTACGGTAACTGCAGCAAGACTGTTAAATAGGCAGTCCTCGACTTACGACGAATCACTTAGCCACCATTCAAAGTTACGACGGATCCCAGGCAACTTACTCGAGTGAATCCACTCCCCCGGCTAACATGTGGAGGTGGTTCAGGGTGGTGATGGAGGTGGTCAAGTGGCGTTTAGCGTGGTCCAGCTGCTTGATATCCCGGGTGATTTCTTTAACCTGGTTAGATGGAAGCATGCACAGGTATTATTTAGCGAAGGATTCAACAGAAAAGCACAGCCTCCATTCTAAAAGGTGGGCTTTGATGAAATGAAAGAAATGCAATCCACAAAATAAGAGAAGGGGACTTCGGAGATCCTCTATTCCCACCCCTCCCCAAGTTATATGTTGGGCTGGAAGTAGAAAATCAGAGTTCTAATTCTTGTTTGCCGAGAGGTTTTGGTGTTCAACAAATTCTAGCGCCATCAAACTCACCCTGGGCTTCAGCGTAATAAATCATATAAACATGAAACGCTGCAAACAGCCTGTTATTCCTTTATTCCTCCCTTCCTCCCCTCCGTTATCTCTTTTTTTCTCTTCTTTTCCCTGGACCTTACCTTCTTTCCTTCCCTTTCCTCTCCTCTCCTTTCCTTTTCCCAATTCTCTCTCCCTTCATTTTTTTCCTATCCCTCTCTCCCTCTTCTTTCTTTCTTTCTTTCTTTCTTTCTTTCTTTCTTTCTTTCTTTCTTTCTTCTTTCTTCCTTTCCCTCCCTCCCTCCCTCCCTCCCTCCCTGTCTTTCAATTTTCTCTTCTCTTATTCCTTCATCCCTTTTTCCTTCCTTCCTTTCTTTCTTCCCTCTCCCTCCATTCTCCTATCCCTTCCTTCTTATTCCTCCCTTCTTTTCATGATTCTCCCTTCCTTCTTTCCCTCATCAACTTCCTTCTCCTCCTTTCCCAATTCTCTCTCCCTTCATTCCTTCTCCCCTTCTTTCCTTCCCTAATTCTGTGCTCCTTCATTCTCCTATCTCCTCTCTCACTCTTTTCTCCTTCCTTCCTTCCCCTCTCTCTCCCAATTTTCTCTTCCTTCCTTTTCCTATCCCTTCCTTTTTCCCTTCTTCCCTCTCTCTCTCCATTCTATCCCTTCCTTCCTTCTCCTATCTCTCCCCTTTCCTTCCCTCTTTTCACCATTCTTCCGTTCTCGTGTCCTTCCTTCCTTCCTTCCTTCCTTCCTTCCTTCCTTCTTGTGGTAGGATTCAGGCAGTTCGCATCACTTCGGCTGAACCGGTAGCTAATTTTTTGTTGCCCAGGCCCAGAATGGACTTCCAGAAGTGGCATCCACACAGAGAACCGATTGTTGACATATTTGAATCCCACTCCTTCCTTCCTTCCTTCCTTCCTTCCTTCCTTCCTTCCTTCCTTCCTTCCTTCCTTCCTTCCTTCCTTCCTTCCTTCCTTCCTTCCTCAGATTCCTAAGCAGCAAACAACATTCATACAGCAGCTAAGAGTTATCAATCCCACTCTGTAAGTATTAAAGATAAAGAGTAAGGCACTCGGCACTCACCATCTGCTCCGATTTTTCTGCTTTATCCTTAATGTCTTTAATCTTACCAAAAAGCTGCTGGATGGCTTTCTGGGCCTCTTCGAGAGCCTGCAGAAAAGACAGGAGGTGGGGAGAAGAAACATATTGAACAGTGAGAACCCCCTCCATTGAATCCACACAACCGTCTTTTCCTCTGGGTGGGTGCCTAGAATTCAAGATGGCCAGGATGGGCCAGGCAAGGAATTTTCTGAGTCCGGGGAAGGGAATGGGGCTTTTATTTATTTTATTATTTCAATTTATATCCCGCCCTTCTCCCGAAGGACTCAGGGCGGCTCACAACATTATTAAAACAAAGAAAGACCCACACACCCCACCGAATAAAACCAAATTAAAACCAAAATTTTTGTGTTGTGATAATTAAAATTTCTAAAAAACCCAGTTTAAAAATCCTCCCTAGGCCAGGCCCGCTTGT